TGTAACTTCTGAGGCTAAATGTAAAGGACATTGTGGCTTCTGTATTGTTTTCTTGGTTAATTGCTCTGAGGGAAGCCAGCCACCTTGTCATGAAGTCACCAAGATCCTATGAAGAGGTCCACATGGCAAGGAACTGAGGCCACTTGTCAACAGCTATATGAGCAAGCCATCCTGAAACCATTTTCCAGTACCAATCAAACCTGCAGACACATGAGAGACCCTGAGCCAGAACCTCCCAGCTAAGATGAATTCTTGACCCACAGAAACTGTGAGACAATGTTTGCTGTTTTAAGCTGTTATGTTTTGGGGTAATTTGTCCATGGCAAGGAACTGAGGCCACTTGTCAACAGCTATATGAGCAAGCCATCCTGAAACCATTTCCCAGTACCAATCAAACCTGCAGACACATGAGAGACCCTGAGCCAGAACCTCCCAGCTAAGATGAATTCTTGACCCACAGAAACTGTGAGACGATGTTTGCTGTTTTAAGCTGTTATGTTTTGGGGTAATTTGTCACACAGCAATAGATAACTAATATACTGCTTAATAGGACTGATGACATGATTAAATCAAATAATGCATAAGAGGCATTTGGCACAGTGCTTGGCACATGTTGAGCACTGAGGGTGACAGTTCTGTTTGTTCATGAATGTATCTGAAACATCTTGAGTTGTACCTAGCATGTAGTAAGTGCTCATTAAATATTTGTTGAATGACTATTAGGTATTGTTGTCTTTACTATCATTACCACCATCATCATTCCATATAGCCTAAATCCAAAATCATTTGCTGAATGAGCTGGACCCTCGAATTTCTTGTCTTGAAGAAATTCTTGTAATTCTCTCTTTAAAAATGCCAAAATAGAGCTATTCAAAAACCCCAAAGCCAAGTGTCTTAGTCTGTTTGTGCTGCTATAAAAGAATGCCTAACACTGGGTAACTTATAATGAATAGAAATTTATTGGCTCACAGTCCTGGAGGCTGGAAAGTCCAAGATCAAGGTGCTGGCATCTTGCAAGAATCTTTTTACTGTGTCATTACATGGCGAAAGGCAGAAAGCAAGAGTGTAAGAGGGGTGGAACTCATCCTTTTTTAATGGCATTAAGCCCACTCATGCAGGTGGATCCCAATCACTTCCCAAAGGTCCCACCTTCCAATACCAACACAATGGCAACAAAATCACAACCTAAGTTTTAGAGGGGACAAACATTCAAATCATAGCACCAGAGAAGCAAGAATTCAAAACGTTTGCTGAGGGCTGGCATTTGTATAACTTTCTAGCACTTACTGTGTACCCTGCTCATTATCCTGAATCATATTTATACGAAACAAGAAAATACATTATGTATAGTGAACACCTGGATGAACACTCAGAGAGAGGGAAAACCAGCCACTCACCATCGACACAGGAAGGTCGGTTTCGTGTTGTTCCGGCTACTTTCCCAGGTAGACAGGAACACTTCACTGTTTGCGACCGCTCCTCAATGCGATTCTTGTTACAACATCTGTGTGCTGCTATCACTTCACATGTCCCTCCTTCTGGCAAGAGAGAAAGAATGGGGTCACTGATTAGAAATAACTCAGTGGCCATTCAGGCCTATGGGAGTATGTGTGGAGGGGTTGGGGAAAGTGATAGAATTTATAGGAACAGTTTCCATGAATTATTAAGGTCTCTCTGTCACTATGTATAACTTCAGAGAAGACAGGCATTGCAATCCAAAGCAATAAACAGCAATGAACGGTCCTCAAGATGTGACAATTCTGGGCTCTATGTATTGAGAATCAGTGAAGCAGTGAATGCCTGGAACTAACACACCAAATAAAGACGCTATCTGATTTAAATGCATTGTATTTAGGGAGCTCTTTCCTGTGTTATCTTTGCATTTAAGATTCTCTGAGCTCCCACTAATGACAAGCAACTGCTGCTCCAGTGATATAGGACCTGCAATGGCAGGAAAACTGCCCAGAAATCAGCTTTTCCTCCCACTGCCTGCCCAGTTTCAAGGGGACTGAATAGGAAATCTAATCAAGAATCATTTCCCAAATCCAGATCTCATCTACAAAAGAAAGAAAGAATTGCTGGAGAAAATGGTTATATGCTTTAAATGGCATCTCAAATCTCAGGCCTAGGCATGTGGCTTCACCTAATTGTTATAGCTCATCTGTGCATTCAACCACATTTATCGGCAATCTAGTGTATGTCACCCCGTACTAGGTTCTTAGCAGGTGAGCTGCTGGGTCTGTCCAAAGGCTGATGAACATTTGAGTCAGTCTTTCCGGCCTGTAGGAAATCGGCTAAGCCAGATCTCCAATGATATAAAAGATGCCCCAAGTGACCAGAAAGCAGAAATTAACTTTCCCAACATCAAGTTTTGAATTCAGGAAGGATATTTTTCATTTGACCAGAATGGGCCCATAACGTTTAGGATTCTTGGCATTCAGGATGCAGTTGGAATAATATAGCAATTACTTGTCAAGCAACCACTATATATAAATTATTGTGTTATAAACTGTAAGGGATGTGTACACATCCTGTATACAGAGAAGATATATATGGACACTAGGAGAGTTTGGAGAAAAAAGACAGGAGAGAGAAAAGGTGGGGGTGGGGAGGAAGAGAGAAGACTGCAGACATAGCTGCATCCTGTCCTCTGAGAACTTGTATGATGCAGCAGTTCTCAATGCAGTGGGGATAGCCCGTGATTTTGCTCTCTCCCCCCAATAATATTTGGCAAGTTTGGAGACTTTTGTTTTTGTTTTTAAAATTTTATTTTATCAATATACAATGTGGTTGATTATTGTGGCCCATTACCAAATTCTCCCTCTCCCCCCTCCCTTCCTCCCATCAACCTCATATCTATTTGCTCATCTTAACAACTTCAAGGAATTGTGATTGTTGTGTCTTCTTCCCTCCCTGGAGACGTTTTTGATTGTCATCCCTTGTGGGGGTGAGGTGCTACCGACATCTTGTGGGTACAGAGCAGGGATGCTGCTAAACATCCCACAATGGCCAGGACAGCCCCACACAGCAAAGAATGATCTGGCCCCAAATATCAATAGTGCCAAGGTCTAGAAACTCTGGTCTAATGTGGAAGAAACACAAAGGTGTCTTGGATTTCAGGTCGACTAATTCTGCCTCTCTAAATGGGAGGAGCATTTAGGCTTTCAAACGAGACTGTTTTAGTTTGAATTTCAGCTCCATCACTTGCTATGTCAGTGTGTCTGTTTCCTCATCTGTAAAATGGGAATAACAATAACACCTGTATCATATGGTTATGTGAGTATCAACAGAGAGAACATACGTATAAGGATACTTCAAAAAGTTCATGGAAAAGCAGAATGGAATGGTAACATGAATCTTTCATGAACTTTTTGAAGTGCCCCCATAAAGGGTCAGCACTGAGCCTGACACATAGTAAAGCGTCCATATATGCTATATATAATAATATCCAATGTGACTGAATATTATTGATTTCTCTGCAGATGCCACCCTCCTTTCTGCCTCAGAAACTTTGCAAATACAAATATAATTTCTCCTGGAATACTCTCTCCTACCTCCCACCCCTCACCCCAACACAAATGCATTTGCCCAGTTCACTCTCCTTAGGGCTTAACAGAGAGGTCAGTTCTTTAGAGAAAGTCCCCTCACATCCATCACTGTCATTCTTTTAGCACCCTTCACATTTCCTCATACTTAGTTGCTCATGTCTGTGCACGCAGCCAAACTGCATGCTTGGTTAGGGTCAGCGTCATCGCTCGTCTCTTCCCAGTCCTATCAACAGCTGGTGTAGGTGCTCCAAAACTGTTGACTGAATGAATGCATGAGTCAGTGAATTAACTAACATTAATAACGTAAAGTAAAGACCAAGTGCTATGGACATGGGTGGAATGGGAGACCTATTCCTTTTTGAAGAATCAGAGAGGTTTCTTAAGTTACGAGTTGAAAGGCAGGGCTTCAACAGATGCAATGAAGGGAGACATTTCACTAACCTTAGAGTCTGAGGGGGACATGGGTGGAATGGGAGACCTATTCCTTTTTGAAGAATCAGAGAGGTTTCTTAAGTTACAAGTTGAAAGGCAGGGCTTCAACAGATGCAATGAAGGGAGACATTTCACTAACCTTAGAGTCTGAGGGTTTTTTTGTTGTTGTTGTTTTTTAAACAACCTTTTATTTTTAGAACAGTTTTAGGTTTTCAGAAAATTTGTGAAGATAGTACTGAGAGTCCCCAAATATACCACACTCTATTATTTCTTGTTTTTATTCCCCTTACATGAATGACACATTTGTTACAATTGAGTCAATATTGATATATTACTACTAACTAAAGTCTAGGCTGTGTTCAGATTTCCTTAGTTACGACCTAAGGCTCTTCTCTGTTCCAGGATCCCATCCAGAATACCACAGGACATTTAGTTGTCTTTTCTCCTTAGGCTCCTCTTGGCTGTGACAGTTTCTCAAACATCCCTTGCTTTTTGATGATCTTTACAGTTTTAAGGAGTGTTGGTCAGGTATTTTGCAGGCTGTCCCTCAGTTGGGATTTGTCGGAGGCTTTTCTCATGATTAGACTGGAGTTATGTGTTTTTGGAGGAAGACCACAGAGGTAAAGCATCATTCTTGCCACATCACATCAAGTATACAAACTTTCAACATGACTCATCACTGTTGATGTCGACCTGGGTCACTTGGCTGAGGTAGTGCTTGTCATATTTCTCCACTGGAAAGTAACTTTTTCCCTTCCTTTTTTTGGATACTGTACTCTTTGGAAGGAAGTCACTATACATAGCCCACACTTAAGGAGAGGGGAGTTATGCTCCACCTTCATGAGATTGCAGTATCTACTAAAATTATTTAGAATTCTACTGCACAAAAGATTTGTCTCTTCTCCCCCATTTTTTTTTTACTTATTCAATCACTTGTTTATATCTATATGGACTCATGGATATTTTTTTTATACATTGCATTGTAATCCCATACTATGTGAATTACATAGTTACTCAAAATGTTCCAGCTTTGGCTATTGTGAACTTTCTCAGTTGGCTTCTGTGTCTCTTTGGCACACTCCAATCATTGTGGGTTTTTGTTTTTCAGCCCTTCTTTACTTTCAGGCCCTCCAAGATGCTCCAGGCTCATCTTACATATTTCCTATTCTTAGAATTTCCTACTCTTTCCATCTTAGAATCAGCCATTTCTCTAAGGAGCCAGTCACGGCATTTAAAAAAAACACAGTAGACAGAACTGAGGTTTCTTGCACATGTCATGTGAGATAGGATTAAACTGGAGAGGCTTCCCTTTCTGGGTGTAGCCTCAGTGTTGCAGTGAGGCACAAATGAGGATTTTGTATACCAGGACTGGTGTGTTCCAGGTATTGCTTTAGGGCGACTACACTGGCAGCAATGTGCAAGAGGAGTTGGAGAAGTGCAATGTAGCAAAGCAGAAGAAACAAATGACCACTGCAAAACACCAAGCAGGAAGTGAGAAGGCTTGAACTCGGATCACAGAAGGATATCTCCCTATCTCCACATGCCCATCACTGGGATTAGAGTTAATGGAGTAGGGCTAATCACACATTACACTCTTTAACCCAGACACCTGCAATCATGCTGCTCTAGCTTATAATTGTCAGCTACAGATACCCTCGGTCAAGTCAGTAATAGCTAGTTCTACATGTCATGAAAATAGCACTAATTTAAAAGTCACCACTTGGCTTTAATACAAGATTGGAGCAACATTTATGATTGATAATAGCACAAGGCATAGGAAAGCTCCCAGGACATATTTTGAATCTCATTTGATTTACAGTCAAGTCAGCAGACATGGTGACAGACATGCCAGATTGCCTGAGTTACTGCACTGAGTTAAATAATATGGAAAGCAAGGAGGCCACTGGAGGCCCAAAGCCAGTCCCTCATAGCACCATGGTAGATGAGCCAAAGGAACAATTCTGTGTTATTCCTAGAGCCCACTGCCATTGATTGAGCTCCAATTTGAGTGCTGGACACTGTAATTGGCACTTCACCCACATTAATGATAAACATTCCAGCAATTATACAAGGTACTGTCCCCACTTTACAGATGAAAAGCTGAAGCTCAGAGAGGTTGAATACCTTGCCCAGAAATCACACAAATGTGTGACTCCAGTCTGTTCCAAAAGCAAGTCTGACATGTTGCTTAGCATGGCTGTCGTGGTTAAGTGTCGGCCTGCTCCTCCTTCCCAGTTGTCTCTGACCTCATTTGTTTCTGTCCTCTCTTTCCTTCTCTTTCCTCCAGGGACACTGGTCTCCCTGGGGACTACTGCCTGAACATGCCAGGCACGATCCCTCTGGAGGGTCTCTGTGTCACCTGAGACACTCTACCAGCATATCTCTGGTTCACTCTCTCATCTCTACATCTTTACTCGAATGTCACTTTATCAGAGGCACACTTGAC